GCAGCCATACCTGATACATTTAATCACTTGGTGTCCTCAGTCCCTAATCGTCTTATGTGGAATGGCAACATCACACCCTAGTAAATGCTTTACTTTTTTCTTTTTTTGGAATGTGTTGCACACATCAGAAAAGTGTGTGTTTATTTTGAACATAGAATAAAATTGACGAGGTGTCATCAAATAATGTGCTGCTGTGTTGTGTTCAATGTAATACAGGGCACAGACAATTTACACAACACTCTTTTCTGTTTCAATCTTGATTTTACATATCGTACCAACTTTTTCTGATTTGGGGTTGTAATACCTTAGGTATAAGCTACACTAAGCTGGAGATCTACTTGTCACAGTGATAATACCATAAACCCACCAAACCAAATTTTACAGGCAGAGCAAAGTCACAACTGGAACGGCCATATTAGTAAGGAAGCCACAAAGAACCAGAGCTAACTGTAATGGAAATCCCTGAAGTTTGACATCGTTGATTCGGGGGAGTTTAACCAGCCACACAGAAAAAGAAACAGCTTTTCTCATACTTTGAAACACAATATAACTGAATTTACCTTGGCCTGAAGACAACATCTAATACAGCTATTTAAATAAACATTAAATGTCTCATATGTAGAAGTGTAGACATTATTCTGACCTGTTGAACAAGTGATGATTCTGCCAGCCAACAAGCCTATCAATAACAGGTAGGACCAGGTTACTGGCACACTGAGATCTATAGCAACTGGTCACTTCAATAAGCAGGCATCTACTCTGAGAAGTTCACATTTTGGCTATTTGTCACAGAACAGCTCCATAAGTGCATGATCAGTACATATACATTGATGCAATGTTAATATTTCCAATCCTGTTGTAACTGAAGTCCATCTTCATCCTGCTCTAAACCCTAGTGTTAGCGGTTTGGTTCGAACAAGGCAGAAGCAGAGAGCAGGTCTGAGCAGTGATGGTTAGTACAAGCTGATGTTTCGCTCTTGGGCAGTTACACCGTGTAGACTGACCTGCAAATAATTGTTAGGCGTACTTTAAACACCTAGCCATGCGATCAAGGTTTGGCTTTAGTCAGTGCAACAACTACTCTAGTCAGGAAACCCTCTCTAGGCAGGGAGTGCATGTAAAGTGTGGATCATGGAATCTTTATCAGCCTACATTTCCTCCTGCCATTTGGCTGAACGGTTTATCAATGCATCCAGTCATCTCACTCCATTAGACAGTCCAGATCTTCTTCTGCTGGAAGTAGGCATCAAATCTGGCCTGGGCGTACTCCTACAACACAATCACAAGTTCGAATGTCGTAAATTTCCTAAATAAAATATTCACTCCATACACTTGTGCAATCACTGTTTAGCCACCATCAATAAAATCAATACTTCCTACACACATTTAACAACATTCAAAGACACGAGTTCCATCAATGGTAAATTAACAGTGATTAAAAAAGTGCAACGTGAAGGCAACTGGGAATAAAACTGAGAATGAAAACTGTTACTAAGAGAGACTGTTTTGCAATAATGCTATGGAAATACTGATCCTCAACACAACAGGAAAATGAGGAGGAATTGTTGAGTATGTGTAACGACAAACACTACAACAAATTAAAATGGTGAAAGATTTATAACATAAACAAATATTTTAAATTTAGGATTATTTATAAAAAATTCTTGTCTAAAATATATGCATGTCTAAAAAGTATGATCAGTGAACTACTCTTTATAAAAAAGGTTTTTTTTAATGCTGTGTAATTTCAAACTAGAAAAGGCACACAGTATATGTTGACAACTGAACTAAACCAGAAAAGTAACTGGAGCCCATAGTGGCATTATTTGCAAACCGAAGACATGCAGGACACATTGCAAAAGAGCTTTTCATTTCAAAACTTTCCAGAAAACCTGACCACTGCTCCAGTGAGGTGTACAGGTACCAAACACTTTTAGCCATGTCTGTGTACCACATTTAAAGCACATTTTGAACATTGGCCTTAGTTACTGTATTGTACTTTATTGTCAAAGTACATGTATTGACGTTATATTTTTTATATTATAATACTTTATTTTATATTTACTTTATACTGTTCTTATTTCGTATCTGTATCTTTAATTTAATTCTGATATACTGTTTGTTGTAGCTCTCCTATTTTGTTTTTTAAATTTCCTTTGCTCTGCTTTTTTGCATCTTTATCTGGCCCGTTCTTCTACTGTTCCAATACTAAATTTTTACCCTAGGGATTGACGGAGTGCTGTAATATTATATATATTTAAATGTATTTTTCAAGCATTAAAAACTGTACTGGAGTTAGGTGATACAACTTTGAGCATTTATTGTCTCGGAATGTTCTAGATGAGTGAAATGAGAGATTAGAAAATATGTTAAAATATCAAGTTATTCTGTCCAAAAATTCAAATTTTTTTTAGTACTAGCCAACTGTAAACAGAGTGAATCGGGGTGACCTGAATCACCCAGACAAACCTTCTGTCAGGCTGACATGGCAGCTCGACTTAACCTCCTCTGACTTTTTCTTAACCAGTAAATACTGATAACACATCTGGGAAAATACTACTTTTGTTTACCACTGTTAACTAAGTGCAGTACACTTCCTATTTCCACTTGATACCTTACAGCCACTAAAAGCAAACAAACAAAAAACATAAAAGTAATTAAACCTTTACTGACCAGGTATCCGAACTCGATGGTGGAAAGCTGAGCCTGGATGATGGACCACAAGCCCCAAAAGAAGTGGGATGCCAGGGAGAATCTACATTCAAAAACACCCAACAATTTTTTTGAACACTTTCTTTTACCATTCTTTAATACTGTCATGTACAGACAATGAGTAAGTGCACACCGTGTTCTACATCTGAGCTCACCTGTTCACCTCTACACACAGCTCCTCCTTCACTTTCATTTGGTCCTCTTCACTGAGGCTGTCAAACCCGTGGTCAGATGCACGCAAGTACCCTTCAATGAAGTGGAGCTGCACAGGGACATGAAAAGTTCCCACCAGTCAGTAATCTGTAAGTGAAACTGAATATACAAGGTGCTGGGGTTTTACCATATCATACTCACCTGCTGGGCCTTTGAAGGGTAGGCCTGAGGATCGACTTTGAAGAAAGGAAACTCATCGCAGGTGTAGTCATACATCCATTCACAGAAGTGGTTGCCAATATCAAATCCCCTGCAAGGTTAGACAGAGAAACAATAGAAGAAGATGACTGATAATGCCTTTCGATTAATAAGCACTTTTTGCTTGACATGTTGTGGGGGGGGGGTGTCTATAAACTGGATTTGTACCCTTCAGGTTCTGCTTCTAGCTAATATCAATGAGAAATACACACCATGTGTCCATTTGTGGGTGTGTTCTTCCTGTATATGCGTGTCAGCACATGTGGTCACAGGTTTGATATGTGTGCAGTGAGTCATGTGCTTGCAGAGGGTCAAATATTTGCTGTGCAGCTCATAAGGGGCGGTGCCAAAGGGAGCTGCATGAGGGTGGGAGTGTTTCTGTGTGGTGGAAATAGACAGAGGAAGGAAGAGGCCTGTGCCTGTGAGCCACTGACAGCCAAGGCCCGAAGGGATCTATGCTGTTTCCCATGAATGAGCCACTCAATAATTCACGCACCCAGGCACAAACATATCTGAGGTCACCCAAAGGTAAAGAACATAAACGCTCCTTTAGATGTAAAATTACAGTCCACTTTTCTATTCTAGCCTAGTCTTTCCAGTCCTGTGTGAACGACTGTAACTGAAAATCCACAGCACCATTATTACTACCACTGACAGGCCAGACTAAGGTCCTCACAGGTCTGCTAAATCCTGGTTACATAACAGCTTGGGGTGAATATTTCAAGAGAGGGAGGAGGCCATGAATTATGACTAAAATACTGGTAATGGAGATAGTGAGGGAAGACGGATCCAAACCAGGCTGTGCTCTTTTTCCTCGTTTTCCGTTCAACTTTATCAATCAGATTTTGTCAAATTCAAACTTTTAACAGTTAATCATTAATTAAGATTTCAGATTTTATATGCAGACTGAAGTTGAGATTTAAGGCACACACACAAAAAAAAAAAATCTATTCCATCTACTGTCAATTTTCACAAAAGTGGAGTCTCACAACTAACAATTAACACCATAGTGTATTTTTTCTAAAAAAATAAATAGTTAAGTTTGGCAGTAGCTCGGGAAGAAAAGGTTATCTTTTGGGGGGAAAAAAACACCCGGACTGGCTGGGACTTCCCTTTCAATTTTGTCTTCTACAGCAGTTTCACTTCTCTGTGTTATCATGTGGTCAACTGGGCATAATAAATTGTTCAGAAGCCAGATATTTTACAGCACAGTATAAATTTGAACATTTTCCACTTCTTTCCTTTGCCTTTAGCTGTTACCTCAATACTTTAAGTACCTTTTCAGAAAAGTGAACTACAGTGCCCAGTCTCTGGACAACAATGGGGCTGTATGGCACAGACAAATAAAATATATTAGGTTTAAAGTACATTAGATACATTCATTGTTTGTCTTTCGTCGGGTTCAGTTAACAATAGGAAGATCACGAGACTGACGCCTTAAGCTAATTTTGCTACAGTTGAAATTTGTGTTGCAGTAGTTGCTAACTTACCTGTAGTTGTAGCTGCTGTACTCAAAGTCAATGAGCATCAGCTTCTGTTCTGAAGTCTGGGAGCCATTCAGCAGCAGGATGTTCCCTGAACGCAGCATGCACAGACAAAAGCGGTACTTTAATCAAACAGAAAAGTAAATCTACAAGTTAAAGGGGTCATGGGTCATTTGTTTTACCTTCTTGACAGTCATTATGGCAGAACACAACAGGAGAGTGGGTGGACTCCAGCAGAGACCTAAACATACACAGAAAGGTCAGAAATAAAAGGAAGATCACTCAGCAGAGTTTAAAGAGCTCCCAAACTGCATGCATCGTCATACATTACACTGATGAGTCTTGGTCTTACCAAGTAAGTTTAATCTCTGTTTCACTTCATTGTATAACAATTTAAAACCTTTGAAATAGCCTCAGAGCAGGTATTCTCTGGTAAAAACTCTGTGAAACTAAGAGCAGTTTGGTTAACAGTCACAATGCTAAGGACTAGGAGCCAAACCTGGAATGAAATGACCACAAAACCTGCACAGTATGTAAGGTGTGTTAATAGGGTTGATGCTTGTCTACATGCTTATATTTTTGTTTTTCAAGGTTCAAATTCCAATCTGAACACTACTGTGAAACAAGAACTGAATAAGGTTAAGGTTAAGGTTGGTAGTGGTTATGGTCAGGGTTAAGGTAAGAGTCTAGAAAATTAATGTAAGTCAATGTATTGCCCCCTGAAGTGAAGGGAACATGACTGTATATGTGTGCAGGAACATACTTGAGAACATCCATCTCCTTCGGCAGATTGTAGCTGAGCAGGTGGTTGAAGCAACGGAGGTCGGACTCTCTGGTGAAGTTGAGCCTGATGACTTGGCTCAGGTACCTGGTGAGAGCGTTACACACACATATAGTAATAAGATCTGATGAAGAAAGTTGACACAGTGAAGCCAGGATCATGTGAGTGTTCTCTAACAACATCAACCTGACTCACCGATAAGAATGATGCCATACTTCATTAACTTTGTTAGAGGTTATGATGGCCTCACTGGAAATAATGACAATTATTTGTGTTTGGATGTACAATGTTGATCTAGATCACCCAGACCAGGGGGTTTTCAAGATACTCTTCACCACTGCAGAGTTTTTCCTAGGTTTTCAGATGGCTGAGGCACTTTTTTAAAAAAGCTGTCAGTGTGTTAAACAAAGTTCCAGGCTTGCTAAGAGTGGGCAGATTTGCTTAGCATACAGCGAGATAAACTATCCTAACATGAGGACTGTTGCATCTAACTGAGTGGAGAGGGCAGAAGACAAAAGTAACTGCTATTCATGACAAAAAAAAGCTACAGCTGGTCTATGAAGTCTTTCTTTACATTTATTTTCATTTATATCTGTGTCTTTTCATTTTTGTAACACTGACATAATGTAACTTTTTGAAATGTGTTTTTGTCTTTTTTTAAAATATTATATACAGGGTCACATATACAATACTAATATACCAAGACAATTCTTTTCAGTCATAAACCTAATTTCCCTTTTAAATTTAAAGTAACCCTCAAAAGTTAAAAACACCCTGGGTCCACTTGCTGTTGGCATACTAAACTTCAAGGTTATACTGAGATAAAGTAGTCTAGTGTCTGTCCTTGAAATCAGCCAAGGAAATTTAAGACACCCACAAACCAAATCCAGACCAGACTGCACTGTTGCACTTATTTCCCTGCTTTCCTATGAGGCCCAAAGGAAAAAAAAAAAAAGAGCAATAAATTCCAGAGTAACTAACGCCAGATATTACGTGAAACCCCATTCTTTTCTGATGTCAAAATTTACAAAATAAGCCACGTTGCATGTCAAATGTGCCTTCACAGTTCAATGAACTTTATCAACACATGCTGACAAACATTGCACAATGTAAACCTTGTAAACACCCAATAAATGAACTGAAAAGCAATTCAGATGGCATTACATCATGACAAGCCAACTCCAACTTCATACTCGTTGATCAGTGGTCTAACAGGTTATCTTGGGATATCAAACCTTACTTAGTAACAGAGAGGAATTATGCCAAACTTGTTCTGCGCTTCTTTTAACAGGTATTTTCCAATTAACAGGCAGAAAAAAGACTTATATTACTTACTTGTTCATAGTTCCAAACAGCCATTTGGGTTCCTTATTGAAGGGCATCCTCATGCCATGAAACTTGGCCATCTTTTCTGCAACCTCTGCTGAGATGCTAGGGTCACTTAACTCATAGGTGTCCAGTTTACGGCTCTGTCAACAGGATAATGCAAAAGATTATTTTAGTTGTAATTTTCAGTATTTTGCCCCTGAACCAGAGCTCTGCATTAAGTGACTTAATATTTCTTGTGGGAAAATCAATGAACAACAAATGAGAAAAATAAATGCAAAACAGCCACAAAGGGATGCAAAATGAGCACAAGGACATGAAAAGCAACCCCACAGACAAAAGTATTAAAACAAAGACAAAAAGCACCAAAAAACAACACAAAGCATCTAAAAATAGAAGCAAACCAACTAAAAAGAAATGAATGATCAAAACGTGTTGTAAAATAAGTAGTCACACCTAAGCACAAAATGATTGAAATGAGATGCAAAATGACCACAAAGAGACAAAACAACAAAAATACAGGTGTAAAACGGCCACAATGATGCAAAATGACAAAAACGAGAGATAAATCTTTCTTTTGATTTGTGGACCTTGGGGTGTCTTTTACACATCTATGCCCAGGGGCCCAGTGTTTCATAATCAGTCCATGTAAATATGAATGTGTGCACTGCACTTATGTAACAAAATTTTACATGATATCCTAGTATAAATGTTAAGTTTTACTATAACTTGTCACTGCCAAGTTACCTATTACAGTTTAGACATTCCTAGAATCTAGGTGTGAACCTAAGAAGATGTACGTTTGTTTGTGAAACGAGTTATACAACTGCTTTTGCAGTACACCCATATTTAAACAAGATTATCTGTTTGAATAACTTGCGACTTGTCTTTCATTCAGATGATGGCAGTTGAGGGCAATATTCTTTTCTTCCATGTGTAAAATAAATTCTGCAACAACATACTGTTTAGACGCTGGACAACAGATGTTTTATGGTTTATTCATTTTCTCTGAACATCCATCAATAATGCATCATTGAACAGTACAGCACACACAAACACACACAAGTCAAAAGATAATTTGAGTTTGTTGTGCTTTGTGTCCTATTAGCAGTAACCAGAACATTCTACTGGACTGACAAATGTATCAAAAAACAAACGCTTTTCTTTGTCACATCCTATCTTTGGGCTGCTGGTGAGAGAAACCAAAATATCTAAAGATAAGGTTAGTTTAACATAGTTCAACAACAGCCACATGATGACTCACAGGGATGTACTGCTCCAGTCGGCCCTGAGGGAAAATGCCATAGAGCTTAGGGCCCAACTCCCTCTCCGCCAGGATCGCAAACATCACACTCTCCAGCACCATGGCTTCCGCCCCCTGAAAACACACAGTGAGAAAATTAACAGCTGGACATTTAAAGCATGGGAACAGTCCACACCACCACCATTACCCAGCAAATGCAATAAGAACAGAGTGAGACATGAGACAAAGAGCTTCTGGTCACGGTGTCTGAAAACAGCAAAGTTAGAGTGAGAGTCAAGAACAACACAATTCTCTCGTCAGCCCCTTCGGACATTAAATCTGTAACTATGTCTGGTTTGTGTTCAAGTCATGACTTTTTGGCTTTAGAACACAGGCTTTTTGGTAGGGGTCACAGGACTGAAGGGACAGAGCAGCTGTCACGAGATAAGGAAGATCTACAGACGTGTTTACTCTTCACTGTGCTGCCAGAAAAGCATTGAACTGGAAAGTCACGCCATCAAGGAGCACCAGCATTTACACAAGCTGTTTCTGTAATGGAAGATGAAACTTTCTTGTAGTTGACTTGACTGTCCCTGCTTCACTGTTAAATGGCATATTTTTGTATGCATTTAATCATTTATACAAACCCAATTCCAAAAAAGTTGGGACACTGTACAAAATGTGAATAAAAACAGAATGCAATGATGTGGAAGTTTCAAATTTCAATATTTTATTCAGAATACAACATAGATGACACATCAAATGTTCAAACTGAGAAAATGCAT